TCACTTAGCCAGTTCTAAGTGAAACTTATTGTTAAACAAACCTCCCTGAAGAAGACTCGCAAAGTCGGGTCGAAACGTTGGCTTTTAATGAAATAGATTTTCCACTATTTAATCTATTTATGACCGCCACCCCCGACCATCTCTTTCCTTAAAATAAATAATTTTGTACTTTATAAAATATATTTATAAAAAATAATTTGTATTTCGTAATTTAAAAAAATACAAGATTAAAAAATGTATTAATAATAATAATATTCTATAATAATATTAATGTATTAATTAATTTAAAATGCTAAATTCGGAAAATGTATTTTAAAATATTTTATTTGAAATACTACTCAGGTCTGATCCAATACTTAAATTGCAGTTGGCGTTGGTGATTTAACTGAGACTTCTCTGGCAAACGCATGTTTTTCTACGCCTCGCGTATAAATTACATCTTAAACTTTATTGATTTTACTTCGAGTATAGCAGGCGTCAAATCGTTAAAAAGGGCGACCAATAATCAAAGAAGAAGTATTTAGCGAAGTTTCTTCACCACAAGCACTCAAATTTTATTGTATTGTACAACCAACAACTATGTTGAAAGACTAATTTAACACTTTCTTGCCTTTTAGTTTTAATTTTTGCCACTGCCAATTTGAGATAATTTCTTAACCCAACAAAAGAGTGATGTTTTCCGACTATATAGGCTATATATAGCAGCAGAATTTTTTTAAATGCCGAATAATTCGCTGGTTTAAATAGAATATTTTTAAAAATAAGATAATGTCTCAAAAGGCAGACCAATGCAATCAACTCTTTTATTTTTCTTTAATATATATCTACCAAGCAACATCTGAGAAAAATTTCACAGGGGTATTTTTGGGTATATTTTAGTGAGTAACTTTTGAAGTTATAAAATTACTTTGTTTTAGAGCATGTCGAAATAAATAAGTTATTTGGTCAATTTATGAATTGATAATTTGATGAATGGCTTACTTAAATACTAGCCATATATCAAATAAAAATTATTATTGTAAAAAAAAAATTAAGTAGTGGTACTGAGCTCAAATGAAAGATAAGACAATAGTTGAACATGAGTCATCAAATCAGTAGTTGTTTAGAGGGTTGTATTTATCAGTTGGAACCGCTAAAATCAAAACAATTAATGATTATCTTCTTATTAAACATCCCTCTTTTATCTCATTTCTTCGGATTTAAAAAAAAAAAAATCACCATTAATTTTTTCGATCTGGGTCGTTCGTCCCACTGTGGAGCGGTCGTATCAGACTTCCTGAAAGTCCCTTTTATCATTGACCTTCCTAAATTAAATCACTATTATCACTGTGACTATATAAAGATAAACACAAAATTGGTGTGAACTCCTTTCCCGTTGCGAATCCGGCCCTTGCAAATATTTTTTTCACACACACACATAATATGTCCTTAATTAATTGATCCTTGCTCAATGAAAAGTCCCACAAGCGTTCTTTGCATATTTTTGATGTTGTTTTTTGTTGTAGAATTATATTCTAGCTTAGACTGGGAGCTACAGGCCATTTCATTTAGCTGAAGCACTTACAGCTAATAAACATCTTAAAATCTATATAAATATTACACACAAAGTCGGTCAATCGGTTGAAAGCCGTTGTTTTATATACGAAAACTTAGCGTGGCGAAGTTTGACGTTTCATTTGGCTGAAGAACTGGCGGATTGAAGGACAACAATATTCATAACAATAGCCAAAATATTAAGAACAGAAATGCGCTCTATAGGAAATTTGATATTTTTTCAATTCAATTCAAGCTTATGTAAAGTCGTAATATACAAGTAGACGAAATGCTGTTTCACCTCACGGATTTTGAAGCCCATTTTTTATTTATTTTTATGGATGTATATGTCCCTCACGTCAAAGAATATATAAAATCTATATCATTTTATTTATAAATTCTAATTCTGTTACAAATATAATTAAATTAGCCGAATAAAAAGAACTGAACACACGAAAAGAGCTGAAGTTGAGGCGACAGCTTCTACAACTTAAATTTGCCTTAAAATTAAATTCCGTGAGCTTTAACAGCCGCTTACCATTTCACTTATGTAATAATAATAATAATACTTTATTTATTCTGGGACAAGTCCCTTTAGAATAATACATAAGGACAATAATGTGGGCTAAGGAGCCTCAGAGATACACGAAAAGAAATGTTGAGTAATAAAATAGTCATATTAAAAATGATATGTTACTTTCTAACTTAAATAAGTTAATAATAAAGAAATTTAAAATAATGAAGAACAATCTAATAATTTATATACATATTTTCAGTGGTATCTATTTACAATTTTATGATTTTATGGGGACTGGATGGATGAGAAATGATTGAAAAGGCGGGATTTAAAGGTAGGAAGGGTATTAGATTGACGGATGTGGGAAGGGATGGAGTTCCATAAGGATGAGGATCGGATAATGAATGGTCTGTCGAAAGCAGCGGTTCGGTGGGCCCTTATGTATAAATCAGAAGACCTAGAACGAGTATTGCGGGACCGGAGATGTAAGTTCGGAGATATATGAAGGACAGTGGGATTGGATGACTTGAAAGAGGAAGGATGCCAGGAAATACTTACGATGGTAGGAAGGGTAAAGCCACTTCAACTCTACATACATATGTAATGTATCTAAATGAGATATTAGGAAATTGATTATAATGATTTTCATTAAGAGATGCATAAATTATGAATTTTGCGTGGAAAAACCGACGAAAACGGATATTTCATGAGAAATGAGAGAAATAGTATAAATAAAAAACAAATAAAATTAGCTTTCTTTAAACTCCTCATACTTTGATCCTACATTAAAAAGCCACGTGTGAAATTTATAGTAGATTTTATCTTCGTATACATTAATAATTTCGATAAAATGCATAGTTTTAGGGTGATGACAAAAAAACTGAAAAAAGAGCAGAAAATTCGTTATTTTTTGCGTATATCTAGCAATAGAAAATTTCGTTTGAAAAAAAAAATCACAGAGAAACCGATTATATAAATTATAATGGAGTACTTTCATGATTTTGAAGCCGTCAGTTTTTACAACCCAACCGAGTAAATCGCCAGTCAAGTTGAATTCTTCAACGTCAAATTTTGCCACTTTAATTTAAGTTTTCGTTTATAAAGCTGCGACCTTCAATCGACTGACCGTAGTTGTGTGTTCAGATTTATGTTGAGGTTTATCTAGAATTTAAAATGGTTATTTCCTTTAAGATCTTATAGCAAAAATTCTAGTCTATTTGTTTATTAGCTGGTCATAAATTTGTTATTATTAAACAATTTTTTTAAATTTCTGGATCAGAATGATAACTGATTTTTATTTAAGGAATGAAAGAACATTAATAAAACTTTTATAAAGGTTCAAATTGTTTTTTTATTTTTAGAAACTATTGTACAACTTTATATATACATTTAATAAAGCAAAATAAACTTGTTTAAGGAATCTATATACACATTACTATTAAAACTCAATTAAAATTGTTTACACATATATATATATATATATATATATATATATATATATATATAGTCTTTATATATAGTCTTTATATATAGTCTTTATATATATATATATATATATACGAGGGAGCGGAGTAGCTCAGTGGGTGGGCCTGACTTCCAGAGCTCAAGGGTTCGATTCCAGCTGATGACAAGTAATTTTTCATTAGCTGTGGGTCAACACAGGGATCGGAAGACCCTGCGGGGCACACCCGTCCTATAAAAAGTGGGTACTCTTAATTAAATAATTGATTATGGGGGAAAACCTGGCGGTTGAGCGTGATATCGGTCCAATCACCTCCCTGCACAACCGTTGGCCTTGTAACAGTACTTCCTCAAATAATTGCTGCACCTAAGATCCTTCATGGGTTGTAGTGGATATATAATATATGTGTGTGTGTGTGTGTGTGTGTGTTGTGAATAAATCTAAGTTCAAAACTTGATAACATTTAACTATAATAAGCACAAATAAATATAAAAATCATTTCAAGAAAACCATAAAAATTTGTTACCTTAACTACCTCCTTACTATTAAAAAATAAAAAATAAAAACAGTTTTATGAAGAAAAATAATAATGATATTTTAATCTAACTAGATGTGATTGCAATTTATTTATATATAGACTAACATGATTTTAATATAACATACAAATTTAATATATAACATAGTTTATCAATATATATTTTAATTATATATATTGAGATAAAAACTTGAAAAATGTTTCAAAAGATCGTAAAATAATAAAAGTAAATATATTTAACAATATTAGTCCCGATTATTTACGGTTCGGTTGATTGACGTCCGCATGATCGATGCTTCTCCGTAGAATGACGTATGACCCACTGGCGGTTCTATAGGGGGTGCTTTCGGAATGAAGTACCCCAAAACAGAAAGTTTTTTTTTTTTAATCGGTTCTTATTTGTTTCTGTGAGGGAACTGAGTTAATACTTAAACAATCACTATATGTACTCTTTTTAAATTATAACGAATTTTCAGCAACTAAATGCAAACACGTGATAAGAAAAAATATTTTTATTTTTTATTTATGATATTTACAACTGTATCAAGAAAAAATACATTAAGTAAATGTGATAACAGAAAATAAAAACATGAAAACACTGGTTGAGAAACTAACCACTCTAAAAAAACATGTATTTACAATAGAAGATCTCGAGGCCATCTTCTTTTCAGAAGCCTCGGAGGGGGAAAAAATATTTTTAAAAACACTTTTTTTTTTAAACAGTCCTTCTTTCTTTTTATTCTAGAATAATTACTGTTACAAAAAAAAGAAAATAAAAGCCTCCCCCAATTCGAATTTCTGAATCGGCCACTGATAAGACCTGATGGGTTGTTAGATTAGGAATGCTACGAGAGGTATGATTTACGGAAATGAGAGCATAAACAACGTATTTTTGAGGAGGCCGTTAGAGTTTGGCTGGCCGGTTTCCCAAGGGTCGCCATTCTATTTTGGGTCTCAGTCGATGGCTGCGGGCTACCGAATCCAGTTCGAGTGGTACGACCTCGGGGGTGCGGTTCGCCTTAACAGCTCGAGTCGCGTCTTACTTTCGGCCGAAGGCAGCAGGGCTGTGTGCGAGGCGAGCAGCAGCCGACCATCCTTGAGTGCTTTGGATGTCCTCACCGCGGTATCGGTCGTCCTCTGCTTGGCAAGGATATGTACTCGCAAGGCAGTCCTCTTCCGCCAGTCGAGGCCGATAGTGCAGCCAGAGGTCGCGCCGTGCACACCCGAACCCAAGTGTGCAAGACCACCTGTCATCCACCCGCGACGGTGTCACTCGGCTGTCGCTGACCTAGCTCCATGTTAGTAAGTAGCCTACTGGCACAAACCTTACTTATCTTCTTCTTCAGATACTTAAAAATTTGTATCTATAGTATCCAGAACTTGAACGGTTTTACAATACTCTTGCAGTTTCAGTTGATAATACCACTAATATATCTCCATAATTTTGTAACAGTTAATGCATTATACAAATAGAATAGAAGAATCAACATTATTCTGGGACAAAGTCCCTTAAGAATAACAATATTGAAAAGAAAAAATTAACATAACATCTGGCCAAAATGCATATTAAAATAAAAAATCAAAAGTTAGATGTAGCATTTTTTCGTAACTCTGAATAATGCGAAATGGTTAACTTTTTAAAATAAACCATATTAAAGGTACTTTAGAGGAATACATATATGAACATTGGGCATTTAAGCCCTGTAAAGTGACATCAACGGGGATAAGACCTAAATGATATTAAAGACCACTTTATTATACAATGATACACCGAGTTTGATCAAAATCGTTAGAGCCGTTTTTGAGAAAATTGTAAAAATGTGTTTCAGCGTTCACATACAGTGGCACTACCGGTTAGCCGATTTTAACGAAAAAGTTGCTGTCACATCCGGCCCATATACAAACCTTAAATACTTAATATCAGTTTCGTACTACTTTTCGTTTATGAGCCAGACTGTTAACACACACACACACACACACACACACACACACAGGCCATTTTGTGACATTTGGTTATTTGAACTCAGGGGACCTCAAAACATGTATTTCCGTTGAAAACTGAGATTCGAAAATTTTCGCAATACTTACCCTTACTATATATTACATATATACGTAAGTGAAAGTAAAAACAACTAAAAAATAAGTAATAACAGAAGTATTTACATGACTATACGGGTATATTAAAGAAATAATATGAGCAATAAGGCCCTAATACTGCAAAATATTTGCTACAAACAATAAATTATGGAATACTAAATGAAATTTGAAATGAACGATAAATTAATTTTGTATTAATGAAAAAAATAATAATAAAAGAGTAGATAAATATTTATTATTTCATACAGTCGTGCGAATAAATATAAGCTCAAGAAATAAGAATGTTTTTTTAAATATGCCATAATATTGAAAAAAACAAAAAACTATCTTTCTTATTATTACATTGGCACACTAGCGGATCCAGGATTTAATTTTGGGGGAGGGCTTCAGCCCGAAAGCTTTTTTTTTTCATAAAAATAATGATAATTAATTAGGAAAAAAAGAAAGAAACTAACTACCTATATCAAATGGTGTTTAAGTGATTCCTAAAGTCCTTTTAAATGTAATTACACGAACAATAATACTTTAAGAGATATTTTTTTAATAATTTTTTCCATAAAACGGTTATACTTTACCATTTAGGGGGGGAGAGAGGCTTCAACCCCAAAGCTTCCCCCCCCATAGATCCGCCCGTGCATTGGCAGAAAGCATTTAAAGGTCATCGTTTGCTTGATAATCTTCCAACAACAAAAAACATTATTTAAGGTACTTGTAATTAGTAATAGACATCGCACTATTAATCGACAGTTTCCAACTCATTAACAGATAATAAGCTTTATATGCTCAAAAGCATAGGCGAATCTACGGGGGGGGGGGTGGCTTTCGGGCTGAAACCTAACCACCCCTCAAAATGGTAAAATATAACCATGTTTCACAGAAAAAAAATATGATGAACTATCTCTTAAAGTATTCTTGTTCGTTTAATTACACTTAAGGATTCAGGAACCACTTAAACACCATTTCATATAGGTAGTTAATTTATTTATTTTATTTTTTCAAATTATTTTTATGAAGATTTATGAAAAAAAAAATCTTTCGGGCTGAAGCCCCCCAAAATTAAATCCTGGATCCGCTAGTGCTCAAAAGTGAGTCCAAACATGGGTAGATAAGCAGCTAGAACACTTAGGAAAGATATGTCTGAAAGTGAAGGGATATCGTGCCATAACAGGAGATTGACAGTTGATGTTTTAATGGAGCAAGGCTACGTGTTTGTTTCAGGGATATTTCCTTATCACTTTTGTTTAGGAGATAAGTGTGAAATTTGGATTCATTTATCTGTAGTTCGCCATTTTTTAGTTTAAAACTGTGTTGAATTTATTTTGGTTTTCTTAATTATATAAAAGACCTATTGATCCCAAAACCTGCGTGTCTATTACGGATGAAATACAAGATGTCAAAGTTTTTCATGAATATTAACAAATTGATTGAATAGAAAAAAAAATCGACAAAAGACTAAATTTGCTAAATCCATTTGCAAAGATTCAATATCAGGAATAAAGCTGTGGTTAACATTAATGTTGAAAATTTTTATTATTGCCAAACAACTAAAAAAAAAATATTATGTACTATGTAATAAATTTAAACTCAGGATACTAATCAATATTTATTTTCAATTTCATATGTATATTTATAAAATAAAACAGATTCACTTGACTTTTTCACATTAGTAGAGAGTATACGCATTTTTAAATTTTTTTAAAGCCTGTCAACGAAGTGAACAGACGGACAAACACATACTACTAAACGACTAAAGCAATCTGTTTATTCATGAAAATTTAACGGATCATATCCATTAACAAACAAGTAAAAATACGCTCCATCACTCCAATTAATAAATTATATTTATAGGATGTGTTGTGTGAGTATATATATATATATATATATATATATACATACATATATATATATATATATATATATAGTTTTCTTTGGTATATAAATTATATTTTGTTTTTCTTGTACTTTTAATGATTGTAATCTAGTTTTTTATTTATATCTTATGTAGGTTTTTTTATGAGGTTTTTCCTATTGTAAAAATGGATTTCAATTTTCTAAATAGCATTCAAACCATCAGTATGTCATTACTGCAACCACAAACATGTAATTTATCATTATTACATGATGTAATGTAAAAAAATAAAGCATTATTAATATAAAAAAATAAAAACGAAGTGTGAAATTGAGTAACAAAGAATAACCGACTTAAAAAATGCTGGAATGATACCAGAAGCTAATGGGATGAGCCGTTCCAATGGACTAATTATATAATTTTTTGAATTCAGATCTAAAAAAAAATATTAGGTCTCCAAGATTTTCAGGTGCATCCAAGACTGCATTATACAATGAAACGTCATAGCATTTGCTTAGCAGGCACTGTATCACTCCTGGTAATCATTTGCATTTCCCTTTCTCTGTCTAAATTAACACATCGGTGCAATGTTAATTTTTGATTCATTTATTTGTGCCGAATTAGGGTGAGGGGGCTGCTAGTGTTGCCAAAAATTGGTAAATTGCAAAGTACAAGACCAAGATCAAGGCCACCTAACTGTTGCAAGACCAAGACCAGGACTGGTAAAAAACATCGATTTTTTAAATCATAGTTACTATATGTTAATAATTGGTATAACCTATATACATTTGCATTTAATTCCTCTAATTTTTCATTCGGGATTAGTTAGGTTTCTTCTATCTAAAAAAATACAGTAATATCTTTATAGTAATAAGCTAATAAGTAACTGCGAGACTGTTGCGAGACTTTTGCTCATGACCAAGACTGAGTTTGCAAGACCAAGATTCGTCTCTGTCTGGCATTTGGGCAACACTACCTGTAATTTAAAAATTTGTTTTTTAGGTTTGATTCTCGAATATGACTCTCATTTTAAGTTAAATTTATGTTAAAATATTAAAGAAAGCACTCAATCAATATTTTATATAATTAACGCTAAAAATTTCTGCTGTCAAACTTTCCACACTGTCAAAATTTAATATCTCTGTCAAATACGTTTCCACTAAATAACTGTACCTTATTTTAATATACATCGCATCACAATGTAGTAATTAAAATCAATATTTAAGAATGGGTGTAATTCAAGTTCGATTTCCCATACTGATATCCATACCTGAATAATAACTAAAGATTTTTAGAAAGAAAAGGCTCTAACGACTGAACGAATGAAACTCAAATTACTTGTACCACTATAACCCTTGAAGGTTCTTAGGTTAAGTACTATGGGAGAAAGTACTGTTAAAAGGCCAACGGTTGTGCAGTGATGTGATTGGGTCGATTTCACGCTCGACTGCCAGGTTTTCCATCAACATTATTATTTTATTAAGAGTGCCCACATTATAGAGTCTGGGTGTGCCTCAGGTGAGTTTCCCTACCCCGTGGCCGATTCACAGTTGATGAAAAATTACTAGTCATCAGCCGGACTCGAACCTGGGTCCGTGAGGTTTGGAAGTCAGTGCTCATCCACTACGCCGCTCTCATGAAACTCAAATTACACAAGAAGAAAATATAAATTGATTTATAATCAATAAATGACTGTAATTAAATATTAAAATGGTCTAATCAGAGTTTTGTTAGCAATTAAGTGCGGTAAAAAAAAAATAACAAAAAAACAAAACAAACAATTTGAGCCAAAATGGAGGTGGTCGCGGCTGACTTGTCTCTGAATATGTTTACTACTATAAGACTGAAATGGAAGGTGACCTCGGGGTCCAAAATTAGTTATTCATTAATTAAGTAAAAAAAAAAATGTAAAAATAACTCTAAAAGAACATTTTTTAAAAAATACTTTTACTATGAACGAGTATTAGTGTTAGTGCAAAAAAAAAGTACTTATAGAGGAAACAATAAGTATTCTGCACTGTTATTTCCTTGGATTTTGTTTTTTCCTTACAGCTATGATATAATATAAATCGTTATCAAACTTCAAATCATTCAAATTTACCCTCCAAATAACACCAACTTTGGAATTAAATTTTATCATGAGAAACATTTTTTAAAATAGTCATTTCATGTACATTCGATATCACCAGCTATCTACCTTCAAGAAGATATAAAACTTGTCGAGAAAATAAAATGCTTGAAAATTGGAATTTCGTGCCCAATCTTAGCGTTTCGTCCCATTCTGTGTCGATGCATTTAGATAACTATTCCTAGTCCTTTGGGTTATGAGAATTTCCAATATATGATTCACCAATTG